TTCTCCCCTCAGAGTGCTGACTGCATCGAAGGACAAAGCAGGATCACACTTGGCTGGTTTCTCAGGTCTTGGAGGGACCAGGATGTCATCAGAGGAGGCAGGGGGAGGTCCTAAAGGGAACAGATTCAGGGATGCAAGCATTAGGGAAATGTGATGCGTCTGTCAATTTACATGCTTTCCGAACATTCTCAAGGTCCTTTGAGCTAAATCGCAAATGTTCTGTGTAGCATTTTAAAGCTTTCCTGAAGACCATCACTGCAAAGCTGCGATGCCTAATTTTTCCAGCATCACTCACCGTAGAGGGACTGAATGCCATCCACATCATCTTGAGAAAGGCGGAACTGGGCCAGGTCTGTAGACTTGTAGAGTGGGTACATCACAGCTTCAGTGTTGGCCGAGTGAGAGAGACCCAGGGAGTGGCCAAGTTCATGAACAGCAACAATGAATAAATTGGTCCCTATTTGAAAAACCATAAATGTTTAGAATCTAACAGCTATTTGTTTCATAAATACAGGCCATCCTTGGAATCACAGTGTCTTTTCCTTATTTGTGGATTGGTTCATTGATTGGCATATTCCATGCTTCATAGAAATTCATGTGTTTTTCAAGGTTGACTTTAAGTCAACATATAAGACAGTTTTTCACCATATCCTTCCCTAATTCTGTCCTTGATCAGGAAAACTAGGTCACTTTTCCTATTTTGATAATGATAAGCACTGTTTCCAAAATATTTTTCTTTAGAGGGAGTAAGACTAATAGCATGTCAATAAATATAACTCTTCATTGTCTAAAAATAAAGAAATTAGTCATTGTTTAATGTTAGTGACATGTACCAGTTCCAACCTCAGTTGAAATTAATCATAGAATGTTTTCGTTATTCCTCAAACTCTTAACCAACCAGACTCTGGTTATTTCCTCTGGGGACTTAGTCTGATTTTTTTCTTCTTCCTCTGTATCATCATCAAATAATTTTCAATTGTCAAAAATCTTCCCAGTAATAAGTGCCATTGGATAGGTACAATCTTCAGTTTAAAACAGAAACATGCCCCATAACAGTTTAATGCAGCACAAACACAACTGGATTCAGCTTTTTTTAAATATTATAAAGAGTTTTGTTGAATTTAGTAGTAGAAATTATTTAACCAAGGCTGCAAGCAATTATGCAGAGAAGAATAGTTGTTCAAGTAAAACTAGATCATTTCATGCAGCACAGACTTCAGGTTTGTATTCAGTAAAGATGCTCTTTGCGTTTACATGAAAGACCCCAACCAATCTCAGAAATAGTGATTGCTTCAACAGTGTGTTTTCAAACTTCAGA